TAAAGTTTATGCCTCTGGCTGAAAACCTCCAAAAAACCCATAAAAACTATCACAGTTGCTTGCGCCTCCGTGTATTCTTTGCATAGATCATTTGCAACGGCCTCATATCACGTAAATTTTTCACCTTCTCTGTCACTGAGCGTAACAGCAAAGTTGCTTCGCTCACCTAAACGAAGCAAAAAAATCATTGCAAAAAGCAATATCTTACACTGTGACACACACACTGTGACAAATCTTACATCAAAATTGCATTGAAAAAGCGCTGGTTCGCGCTCACCATTAACTCTCACTGTTTTCTGATAAGGCACACTGAAATCATCAGTCTTTCCGTAGATGTCGTGTCCGAAATTACTTCCACGTGGCGGCATGGCCGGCTTGTTAGAAAAGCTTGGCATTCGTTTCTTCGTACTGATGATTCCCGCTCCTAACTGCACATACTATGTCCGCGTATACAACTGGGGATGAAGCAGAGATTGCTCACTTGCATGCTCGTTCAGCACATTTCGTAACTACATTCTCAGCTTTCTTATTTTTCCTTCGTTCATCCGTCGAAAAATGCTAGATGTGTTGCCCTCCTTCTGCCTTTTTTGCTATTGGAATGTGCAAAAGAAAATTTTTATTCCAATACCCGTTACAATTTTGGACTGTTCACGGATCACTACGCCCATTTTTTCTAATCATATGCGAGCAGCGCTGGGCCAAAAATATCTGGCACAACTAATTCGAGCCTGTGATGTGAGGACTCGTACAAAAAGCCTGCCTCATTCCCTCCCTCCACCCCCACCCCCTTCCCTCCTCCGGTTTTTCCTGTGTGAAACATCCTTTCTTTTTTTTCCGTTATTGGTCTCTGAACCAGCTAAAAAAATATTCTACAGCAAGCCCTAAAGAGGTCCACATCTGCAGAAGAGGGATCCATATTTCGAGCTAGCATATTACCACTTTTTACACTAAGAGTTAAAAAAACCAGCAATATGAAAAGAATTCAACAATAAAAGCTTACCTGTTTGAGTAACTCAGCCAAATGAACTGCAGACATGCGCGTTTCAGACATGTAGAAATCGGAACTTGTAACCAAACAATCGACTGCTGTTATGAGATCACGAATGCCAAGAGCTTCTCGAACTGCAAAAAGTCTTAGCGCCCGGCCGGAACCTGAAAAACTTTCAGGTTTTACCCCAATATCCGCAGTACAACTTCTCTTAAAACAAAAGTATATTTCTGTGATTCAAGCTGTATCAAAATTGTTACTAGGGACTAAATGCTAACAGTCCTTCTCCTTTCAGTCCAGGCTATGTGAGTTTATAACGTGCTAGATCGTAGGTACCACAAACTCTGTCTAAAAATAGGCCAACAAATAAAAAACGGAAAAAAATTCTACACGATAAAATAAGAAACATAAGAAGTACTTCCTGTGCTTGTTGACTCTTCCTCTTCTTCCACACGAATAATTTCGTTTGGAGCAAATTCAGTAGATCGCGAATCTTCAAGTGCTTCTACGACAACATCCTCTTCAAAAACTTCTTCATAGACAGGATTTCCGGACTCATCTTCAAAAACAGCACCACT